CATCATCACCCTAAAACCCAAACACCCTCGATCCCAAACGCTCCGGATTTTATCCCATAAATGAGGGGAACCCCAAATCCCAAACACCCCAAATCCCCAAATCCAAAACCCCCAAATCCAAATCTCCAAATCCCAAACCCCCAAATCCAAACCCCCCCAAATCCCAAACCCCCAAATCCAAATCCCCAAATCCCCAAATCCAAAACCCCCCAAATCCCAAACACCCCAAACCCCCAAATCCCAAACACCCCAAACCCCCAAATCCCAAACACCCCAAACCCCCAAATCCCAAACACCCCAAACCCCCAAATCCAAATCCCAAACACCTCAAACCCCCAAATCCCCAAATCCCAAACCCCAAAATCCCAAACACCCCAACCCAAATCCCAAACACCCCCAAACCCCCAAATCCCCAAATCCCAAACCCCAAAATCCCAAACACCCCAAACCCCCCAAATCCCAATCCCCCAAATCCCACCCCATTAATGGAGGGGATCCCAAATCCCAAACACTCCAAATTTAATCCCAAACACCCCCAAATCCCAAACGCCAAAATCTCAGCCCATAAATGGGGTGACACCCCAAATCCCAAAGACTCCAAATTTAATCCCAAACACCCCAAATACCCCAAATTCCACCCCATAAATGGGAGGGACCCCAAATCCCAAACACCCCAAATTTAATCCCAAACACCCCAAACACCCCAAATTTCACCCCACAAACGGGGGGGACCCCAAACCCCGCCCCCGTGACTCACAGCGTACACTCCCTCTTCCTCCTTCTTCTGTGGGAACAAAAACAGAAAGGAAATTTTTTTTGGGGGGGGGTCACCAAAATCCTCCCCAAACACAAAAATCCTCCCTAAACCCCAAAAATCCAACAAAAATCACCTGAATGTCCCTAAACCCCAAAACACCCCGGACACCTCAAACTCCCTGAATTCCCCCAAATCCCCCAAATCCTTAAATCCCCTCCAAACCCTCCAGGACACCCCAAACCCCCAAAATCCTCTGAATCCCCCTAAATCCCCCGGACACCCTAAACCCCAAAAATCCCCTAAATCCTCTGAGTGCCCCCAAACACCCCAAACTCCCCTGGAAACCCCAAATCCCCCCTAAATCCCCCAAATCCTTAAATCCCCTCCAAACCCTCCTGGACACCCCAAACCCCAAAAAATCCCCCAAATCCCAAAAATCCCAAAAATCACCTGAATGCACCTAAACCCCCAAATTCCCCCGAATCCCCCCAAACCCCCAAATCTCCTGAATGCCCCCAAACACCCCAAACCCACCCGGACACCCCAAAAACCCCCAAAAAATCCCCCAAAATTCCCCCTTTTTTTACCTTCTCAGCCGCTCCTTGCCATCGCCGAGCCATGAACTGGGGAGAGAGAACCGAAATGAGGGGGGGAAAAAAAGGCGAAAACGGGAAAAAAATTAAAAATATGGGGTGGGGAGCGGTGGGGATGGGAAAGGGGAATTTTGGGGTCACCCCTGCACCCCAAAAAAAGGGATTTCCCTCACCCGGAGGCGGCAGTAGAGGCCGGTGAGGATGAGGCTGTAGAGGAAGAGCACAGCGTCCAGAACGTAGCAAATCTGCGGCTCGGCCAGGAGCCCTGGA